CTTTCCCTAGATCCAGCTGTCAGGAGAGTGGCCAGTGTCCTCCTTCCTGTGCCCTGCTGGAAGCTGGCGTTGCATACACACATTGGAAACAATTTGCCAGTTCATCTGCTTGTGGCTTCCGTTTAAAAATGAAGGGCTGAACACTGCAGCAGACCTTTGCTAAGCTTTATGGACTGGATGAGGTGGGCTGAGAAGTTATTCAGGTGGCTGGTCCTGGTGGGAGGGTGAGAGGCAGCAAGCTCCAGCAGCAAGCAGGCCAGAAAGGGCTGGGGAGCTTGTAGAGGAGCTGGAGGAGGTTACGTGTTGAGGTGGTTGTTTACAGCCTGTCCCAAGAGGCAGTGATGTGCAACTCTGTAACATCTGTGTTTCTCTTACCCTTGCACACTGGGTGGTGTTTTGTTAAACTGTAGTTACAATTAACTTTAAAATTTAAGAAAACTGGTCTATTTTGGCTGGTACACTCAAAAGAGCCTCCCATTTTGTCTTTTTTGGAAAGTTTATCGTATAGCCAATCTTCTGGAGGCTCTTATCTGCCCCAACTGTGTTGCACCTAGTTGCAAAGGTTACACCTGTGCAACCACCAATCCTTGTTATACCCCTGACCTTAATTCTGATTTTGATACTTGTCTTTTCTCCTCCCCAGAATGGGGCTACCAAAGGGATAATATTGTGTCATTCATGTTTGCAAGGTCTGAATACCCTCTGAAATCAGGATCCCAAATACTAATGTTTAGTCTCTTACTTAGGGTTCAAATGGGCTCAAACTTAAACAGAGGAAGTTCAGGTTAGATATAAGGAAGAAGTTCTTTACTGTGAGGGTGCTGAGGCACTGGAACAGCCTGTTAAAAGAAGTACTGAATACTCCACCCCTGGCAGTGTTCAAAGCCAGGTTGGACAGAGCCTTGGGTGACATGGTCTAGTGTGAGGTGTCCCTGCCCATGGCAGGGGTGTTGGAACTAGATGATCTTGAGGCCCTTTCCAACACAAACCATTCTGTGATTTCTCATATAGCCTGGGGGTCCTCTAGTTATTACTGTAATATTATTATTACTACTGAAAATAAATATCATGCAAGTTAATATCAGCTTACCATATCTATTCAGTCCCACTCTGTGTGGGAGAGCTTTGTGCAGCTAACATCCCTTCAGGGAGTTTATATTATGTTGATGAGAGAACAGTGAATTACTTCTTGTCTGGTTTTTAATATACTGATTATGAAAAATTCTGGCCAGGATGATGTAGTGTTCTCAGTGTTGCGAGCAGGCTCTGGGCTTTGTTAGGAGGGTGTTCCTGTCCATCCTGCTGGAGGAAAAGCAAGCTGCTTAAAATAAATAAATAAATACATACACAATATGTAAACTTGCACTGCTCGACTGTTCTGCTTGAGACTCTGTAAAGCTCTTTCTGTTGCCGTGAGAAGGTTGAACTTAGACTTTCATTTGTTCCTCTCCGTTACAACGTGAAATCCATAAAGTTTTGCTATCCTTGATGCATTCAGTATTACTCTCATTCAGGATTTTATGTACATGTGGCCTAGACCTTCCACTGATGTAAATTCACTGTTGACACCAGTGGGAGGAAGCTGATTTACACCTGCCAAGAATTTGCAAGGTTTTTTTTATTCTGGCATGATCTTCACCCACCCTGGGAGAGACTCTGTTGTAATTGCACAAGACAAACTTTCTTTTTTCCCTTCAACTCTTCCGTTTCTGGGAAGAGATAGTGCCCATACACTGTACATCTGCTCATTCATGTACCTGCATCACCCCTGCCCCTTGAAACGGGGAAGGCTGCAATGAAACCTTTGGTTTCTCATAACAGAAACCTCTTGCAACATCGGCTCAAGCTGTTCATGGGTGACGTCTACGGACAGTTTTGGAAAGCCAGACTGGGTGTTATCTTCAGTTGGTGTCCTGGTGTCCCAGGAGAGGCAGCAGCAGCTTCTGGAAAGCAGTTCCTCCCATGGAGGTGTTGAAGGTAGGCACAGTTACAGTTCCCCTCAAATGGACATCTCCTTTCTCCTAGCACTGGTAGCATCTGTGGGTGGCAGCAATAGAAGCCAGCAGGCTGAGGCCTCTGGCACATGTCACTGATGATACTGACATATGCTGGCTTTGGGGCACAGCTCATAAGGGTGCTGTCAGTGCCCAAGAGTCACTAAGAGCCATATAATGTATGTATACTGCCTGAGCTGTGCATGTATAGGCACTGTAAGCAGCCAAGCCCATTTATATACTCATTTTGTACCTCCTTATTTTAGGATAAGCTTCTTTGGCTTACACAGGCTGGATGTTTCTTAGGAAGCTCAATCTTTTACAAGCCAGGGTTGGCTCCACGTGTCTGCTGTCTGACTTGCAAAGTCTTTGGGTTTTGTTTTGTTCGACATGTCTTCACTCTGCTTTGTTTGGTTTCTTCTCATTCCTTCTATCACTTCTTTATGCATTTCCCTCATTTTTACTTCATTCTCCTTTTTCTACTTTCTGTTATTTTTGAGGGTTTGTGCATAGTCCTCGCCTTTCCTCTCATGGTTCCTTTCTTCAAACTCCATATCCATTTTCCTCTTATTATCTCTCTTCCATCCACAGTGTGTGCATCTTCTTTTTTTTCTCTCCTTACAGGGGACATATTCCTCCTGAACTCCAATAGACTCCCAGATAGATGTGAGTTCAGCCTGCATAGCCCCATCCTGCCTGGGAGCTTGGACTCTTGCTTGCTGGAATTGGCCATATGTTCACAGGATGCTGTTCCTGTCCTCCAGAGGTTCACGGTTGAAGTCAGATATGTGGAGACAAACAGAAATACAATAATTGCTCTGAGAGTTGGCCATGAGGAGGATGCTGGGTAAGACAATCCATTTGCAGCTGTTTAGACTTTGAATTGCAGGCTAGAGTGGAGTCCCTCCAGACCTATGTTTGTCAGTGTCTTCTCCTTTCCTGAGATCATTGCTGCAGAAAATGAAGGTAGAACTGATGGGACCAAAGCGTGCAGCTTCCTGACAGGATGCCTGTTACAGGCCCAGGTTGTGCGTGTCCGCTTTGCAAAGAACACACTTGCTCAGGACTCACTCTTCTTCCCTCACATTTGAAGAGTCAGGAGGGGCTGACTCTCTCACTCATGCTAGGACCATAGCTGTAAAATGCACTCAGTCTGAAGACTGCCTTGGCAATACTGAAAAATATTCAAGGGGTCACATTTGTTACGAGGGTTACATTTCTTAGTCTGAGGTAGGATTAACTTTACCTCTTTTGTAATTTCCTCCTTCCATCTGCTAAGTTCAGGAGCATTCCTTTTTGTTTCATTTGTAGAGTTCAGGGAGGGGAAAAACAGAGACTAGAGGTGAGAAGAGGTGAAGACAAAAAAGAAAGTGCAGCAACCCTGGATCTTGTCCTGTATTCTACTCTCTTTGATCTTCCCAGTGTTTTACTTTTTCATTCCTGTGTGTAGCAGAATGTAGTAAGAAGGAGAAATAGGCAAAGGGAATGAATCACAACAGGAAAAAAGGAGACAAGTCCACGTGTCATCTGATTTTGCCATTTTCCACGTGTTTGTTTTTCCTTTGCTTCAGTCTGCCTTGTAAGAACCTGGGTCAGACACACAAGAGAGCTTTTTATTTCCATCACCTGACTGACTCCCACGGAGAACTTAAGCAATGGATCCCAGTTCTTGTTTTCTTTGAATTCTTTGGCACTCCCCAGGCTGCCATGGAAATCTGTAGCCAAGACTTCTGGTCAGCCAAAGATAGCAGAGTTTGACTAAAACATAGTATTTATTTTCTTTCAGATCCCTCTCCTGCTTTCAGTTATTGCTCACTTCCTTCCTGCCTACTCCTTCCCCTTCTTCTGGGATCAGTTTCTAGTGTTCTTTTTTACCTGTAACTGCCCTTGCTGCTTTGAGTATCTGACAAGCCTCTTCAACTGCAACCACAGCTCCATTCCCCTGTATAAACTCATAAAATACCCTTTGGTATTATTTTATACTCAGCTGGCCAGACCAGCCTTTGATCACAACCACTGCAGCATCTCTGGAATGAATCATAGATGTTGTTTAACAGTTTCTTTGAGCATTGCAAAACCATTTTACATGAAATCAAGATTATTATCTCTCTAAGAGTGATGGCATTTAGATTTATTAGAATGGAATTGGCTTTACTGGAAGCTGGCATAGATACTCGTATTATGTTTTCTTATTGAGTGAAATGAAGCACTAGTAAACTCAGAGGGTTTGGTATTAAGGTTTTAAAGATGGAAGGCAAACGAGTACTGTTTCAAATAGATAGAAAGTATAGAAAACAGACAAAACAGAGCTAGGAACCACATTAGGTCAAATACCCTTCCTTTTCCCCCTCATTACAGGGAAACTCTTTAAAATCTCTGCACAATTCCAGAAAAACCTGAGTGTACAGAGGCGGGACGAACTTTGTTTCTAACACAGCTTCTTACTAGGCAGGTAGTCTGAAATGAACATTCTTTCCATGATTAGGATTTTAGCAACATTGGTTGTTAAGAAGAGATGTCATCCTGAAGTGTTCCTGCTTTCCAGGGGCTTTCCATAGGAAGTGGGAATTCTACAAGCATTTCTGTGATAAGCAAACATTGCTGCACAATTTAGAGCTGAACAAGGAGGACAATGAGCAAATGACCTTGAGATAGACACCTGTGTGTAGTACCTAGTTTAACCATTGACAGTTACTACCAAGGAATTGTCTTGAGATCAGAGTAGGCACTTAGGTATAGAAAAAGGGCTAAGTGACACTTGTTCAGATAATCAGGCACTCCAGAAAATCCTGCTTCAGTCCTTTTTGTTCACTCCTTAATTGCAGGATCAAGTTACGCTTCATAATTTCCAGCTGCACCAGACCATTTCAGTGAACTCTTTTTGGACCTAGGAATATTATCCTGATGGTGTTTCCTCATCCAGGATCCATCAGAAAACACCGTTCCCCAAAGCTTATATGTATGTCATGCATGAGAGAAAGTTACTGTCCACCCCACTAACCATAAAATTGAAGCAGTGGTATTGAAGCTACTACTCGTTTTTTCACACAAATACCTTAGTGAAAGAGCAAAGACACAGGTGGACCTTCAGAGACCATGTCCTCTGAACAAGCAGAGCACAGTCACAGTGTTTATTGTTATATACCACACCTATAGGTTGTGGGTATTCTGAGTTACCAGCATTAACTCAGTAGAGAGGGAGAACCAGTGAGGTGTTTGAAACTCTATATATTTACAAAAACATATAAAATTATATTTCTCATTATCTCAGTAGAGCTCAAACATCAAAGGCCTGTAGTTTCCTTGCAAGTCCAACCCTTCATCTGGCAGTTGGCTCAGAAATCTGGCTTCACTTTCTCAGGGTTACAGTTATAGTGCTTGTACAGGTCAAATCTAATGTCTTTTTCACTATTTTGCTTAGCCCACCTTTTCCATCTTTACCATGCAGATCCAGAAACAGTCACAGCTGCAAATTCTTCTCAGGTTTTGTTTTGAATGGTTTCACATGCTTGTGTTTGATTTTGACAGCAATTATTTCAGTGTTGTCAGCTGAAACTGTTTCAGTAACTGTTTCTTTCAACTCTGAAGTACTCACACTTTAATGAACATTAAAAAGCATCACTTGGGGCAGAGATAATCCTTTCCCTTTTCACGGTCAGGAAGCCAAGCTGATTTTGTTCTGTTTCCTTTCTGAAATATAAAGCACTGGCCATGATATGTGATAGTCTTGGCAGGTTAAAAAGCAAAAGGTTCACAGCCATGTGCACACATGGGTTTTCAGTTAGCCGGCCTCACAAACTAATATTGCTTATTTTCTTGTGTGTTCCCCCTTTTGGGGGGGAGACAGTGGTGCTAGAATGCCCTGCCTGCTTCTGAGACACTTGTAGAAACTTACCATCTTTAACACTTCTATTAATGTGGTTGTTTTCATCCACAAAAGTTATTTAACTTCTGCTATCGTACACAGAAACATTGCCATATAGTTAACATGAATGTCTAGAAACGTGTATGGTCTTTCGGGTTTTGTAAATTAGGTGTCCAACTACATAAGCCTTTGAAAGGGAGTAGCGTGGTAAGCGTCCTCAGAAAATGCCTAATACATACTGACAACAGTGAGCCCAACCACTTCGATTAAAAACCTGAATGTTCATGAAGACTTGCAGGCAACAGCTTCCTGCATGTAGAAAAGTAATGTAAAGTTTCTATTTTGTGCATTCACTGGTTGATCCTAGAAGCAGTTAGCATACATACCTTTGTGCAATAACCCATGCAGTGAGTCCCCCTAATCCAGAAAAGGTTTCAGCTTTCCTGTTCAGCTTTATTGAATTTTTCACTCTTAATGAAGAAATTGTTGTTCTTAATATTAAAAGTCTTTCTTAAAATTAATCATCAGTTACAGCTGGATATGGAAAGGCATGGCATAAAATGGATTGGTAAGGAGGGGGAGGAAAACTTTGGCTTAGCAGAGGAGATTGAGAGGCTAATGAAAATCACAAGTTGAAAATACAAATCAAAAGGTGATTATTATAGCTTTGCAGGGTGAATCTTCAATTCTTTTGCCTTAAGCGTCAGGTCGCTTGTAACTCCAAGCTTTCTATCCATGCAAATATCTCAATTATGTCAGACTGGCAGTCCTTCCATACACACAGATCAATTTTAACATCTCTACTTAGAAGAATAGTAATATTACCTCGTTGCTTGAAATCTGGCTTGACATAAAATCAATAGTAAAGGTATTGCTGAACTTGGCTGCTGCAATGATCCATCTTCAGTAGATGGACAATGGGCTCCATTCCTGATTCCATTAAGGAAATTAAATTGGCTTTGTCTAGCCCACATTTGGATAGTGGGAACAAGCAAAGAAGGTGTAACTATTTACAGTATTAGAAACCTTGCTGCAGTCGGCTCTTGGGGGTGAGGCTTTCTCTGAAGGGGAATACCTTGATGATGTTAAGACTCCATACACTGAAGTATTCTGGGTGATGTAAAGCTACTTGTTGTTTTCGCAGTCTGAATGCTTGCCAGCTTTTGCTGTGGTGTTATAAATGCAGTCAAGGTTCAGTACTAGAGATACTTCGGTGCAGAAATAAAGGTTTTGTGGGACCTTAGGGCTCTGACTCAGAAGAGCTGGCAGTTCACAGAAGTAGTGGTTTAAGACAGTTGCCTTGCTCTTCTATCAGATGCCACAGTTCTTCCAGCAGAGATGGCAGAATGGACAGTGCGTCTTTCTCAGTTGTGACGTTTCAGAGGTTGGTTTATTGACTTAGATCACCGGTGGTTTTCATTTATTTTGATACCCCAGGCTATTAATGGCAAGTTCTAACGTGTCTGGCTCATAAACCATGTAGGATTATGGTGCAGTAGCTGAACTAGTCATTGTTTTCAGCATGGGGCAGTAATCTCTTTAGTTGCTGCTACTAAATGTAATACTGGTTGTGAATCAGAGTCTGTGTGCTACAGGTTCCTGCACTCAGGAGTGTGATAACACTAGTGATACTGTGATGTCTCAGCTGCAGGGGTGGGTTGGAACATGGAAGCAGTAGAACTACATCTTAGTGCTCAGAAGGTCTAGTATGCTCAGTAAGTAAATACAAAAGATTTAAAGGCTGCCCTTCAGTGGCTCATGAAACCAATTTGATTAAGATCCATTGATTTTTGTGGCCAACAGGATGCAATGGAGTGATGAACAAAGCTGTGTCATGTAGCATAAGTGATTCAGCTCTGTGTCAGTGCTAAATGGTCTTGGACATTGTGCCACAGTGTGGCAAGGGGGCTATATTTATAACTGTAGTTATAAGATATATTTATAAGTGCTGGACATTCCTGAAGCTGAAAGTAAAGCAGTCGTTCTCCTTTGTTGGGTAGTAGAGATGGTGCAGTTGCTGTTCAGGGCTGGACATTTCTGAAGCTGAATTAAATTATATTGAACTACTGAATATGATATGATGGGACAGCAAAGAGAAGACAGAGGCTCATCTTGATAACAGGAGCCCAACTTCAGATGAGTTTAGGGTATCTGTGGGTATTTATGTGTACATACAATGGTGAGAGTGAAAGATGGGGGATGCCACAGAGGGGAGAGTAAAAAACTCTCACCAGAAAAAGGAATATAGTTGGTTTATGGAGGGAAGAATGGGTTAGATAACTGATCAGTGGCAAGCAAAAGCAGAGAGAATGATAAAAAATTAAGGTTACTTTGGATTTTTTGCAACTTCCAAATTAGGCAGTCTGTGATTTTTATACTGTGTCCAGTAGACATGTGTTTGTTGTCCAGGTGTTGCTTTCTAATGTGTTTCTAGTGCAGGACAGGGACTAGATGATCGCTTCATGGCAGCTGATGGCATTTCCCAAACTAAAACATAACGCTAAAAGCAAAGCCTGAGCAACACACCTTAACACTGTACCCTGGCCTCCTTACCATGCCACTGGCACTGACTTAGAGTCACTCATCCAGGGTGCCCCCAGCAGCTTCAGCAGCGTGCAGGGTATGGGTAAATTTGCTTCTGTCTGGTACTCTTTCCAGAAAAGACTAAAGAGCAAGGATTGCTTTGTCACTATCCTGCTACAACCCCTTTATAAAATAACAACGTACACTTTTAACTGTATTTTATTTTCTTGTCACTGTGAGGTGGGGCAGTTTTTAAAACTAAAAACAAAATAGAAAGTGGGTTTTTTTTAAATCCTGCTGTATTTTTTTGAAGACACTTGGATACCCTACTCCCATCAGACTGATTTGAGTGAGGTAGTCTGGAAATTCCCATTTGATATCTTTACGATGCCTAACAACCATCTTTAAAATTAGAGTGCTGGAACCGTCTGTCTTTCTCTGCAGTGCCACAAGTGCTGCACAACTCAGAAACCTTTGCTGTCTAGGGGCTATGGGATTTGTTCTATAGTGAAATGTAAATTGCCAGACAATGTGCATTTTCTGGAATACCACTTCTCCTCTTCCCCTTGCTTTGTGGGTGCACTCCAGCTTGTTAAACTGAGAAATTAGATCGAGAAAGCACAGAGAGAGTTTCTCACACTTGACACAACCAAGAAACATTCAGAGCCAGACATTTACTTCCAGGAGATACGTCAGTGTTAGTTTGAGGAGATCCAGAGACTTGTGCAGCTGCTTGATTGATCTGTACTTGCAAGAGCAAACAGAACACAACCATGCATGTGGAAAGCACATGCGGGGAGGGGGGAAGTGTATCCAAAATTGGTGATCATTTAAAACCCCATTTTAATTTAATAATTTGGAATAGTTGTAGCTTTTCATCATTAGTAATAGGATCTGCAGCAAAGATAACTGAAAAAGCTTTTTGGGCTGAACTTCACTTGGTTTATATTAACATCCTTTTGTTGTGTTGGAGTTCACATTCATCAGTCTATTCCCCATGTGGGTACTATTACTCCTATTTGGTAGACTGCAGAATCATTATGCTAGAGACACCATGGGTTCCAGTGTGCTGTGTGTATGTCTGATAGCTCTTTGTGGTCTTCTAGGATGAAATGGAAATACCTGATGGCCCAGATTGGCCGTATAGAAAGACCTTTTAAAATCACCTTGCTGTATTCAAACTGTGGAGCACAAGAGGTTGGAGTACTGGCAGTGGGCTCCTTGCAACTCAGGAACTGCTTTCATGGTATGTTGCAATACAGTCAGGTTTGGAATAACCAAATGCAGTCAGAAAAGGGAGCAGCATCCTCACCAAAACTGATGAATGTGATCACGGACTTGGTCAGATGTGTTTTAAATGAAAGCTGAGTCTCCTCTGGGGTTTCTGGCAAAGCTTACCTGTCAAGGGTCACATTTGCATGTTCTATGTGTATGCATGCATGTATGCTTGCCCAAAGGCAGGGTTGAAGCTCAGAATAACAGAACTGATTTAAGTGATTGTCTCTGCTTTTTGGCTTTACTAGTTTCATCTTTGTATGAGAAAACAACAGGGTTTATGCTGAATCCAGCAATAGGGAGGGAAAAATGTCTTTGCTTAGATTGTTTTAACATTTAGTATTTCTTTATTAAACAATCAAGAACAAAAGGCTATGTCACCAAAGCCTTTTCCATAGTGGAGCTCTATCTTCCAAATCTATAAAGAAAAGAAGCATTCATTTGCACTGCATGGAATCTGTTTGCTACTGCCAGGCTGAGAACTTCCATCTGAAATGAAAATAATTGGAATGTAAATTTTTTTTCCAAAATACTGAGCACTCAGCTCAGAAATCCTCAGTTTTGCCTGGCATTTACAGTCCTGTTGTGTGTGTCATGCAAATGATCCTTAGTGGCTGTGCAGAACCTTGCTAATGTCATTTAGGCTTCTTGGAAGTACAAGAGTCTGTTGGCACAGGCAGCCCTGCAGGTTGGAGACATAATCATCTTCACTTCCTGGTTTTCATGTCTTAACGTAATGTTATTGCCTGGTTTGCAGACACTGTAGCTTGGAATGTAATGTAAAAAGCTTCAAATGAAGAAAAGTATATTGGTTTCACAGAGCTGTTTCATAATATATCATGAGGCTGGTTTTGATCATATTAGAGATTTAGTTTTATTGCAGTCATTAATCTTTTTATTTATATTTTTAATTTAATGGGTTTTGACAGTCAGGGAGTCTTGAGGGGATATGTATAGTCTGAAGCACTATGCTAAACACTCAGTCCCTAAATAAGCTGATGCATGTAGGCAGGGCAATACAGTGCCATGAAGAAATACTACTTCAGACTGTGTACCTGCGTGGCTGCAGAGATGTCCTTTTCTCTCTCTTCTGGAACTGGTTCCCTAACTTTTGCATGTTTTTCCAAGCAGTAGTGATCCCAGTGGAACTTCTGTGCAGAGCTGTGCTAAAGGGGAGCAGGTGCAGAAGGTAAAAACCTGCAGGTCCATAACAGACCCATGCATGTTAACATCCACAGGATAGGCTGGGTACATTAAGCCATGCTTTTGGGAAATATCAGACTGAAAAATTGTGTTTAGTCTCATTGCTGAACTGTGCAGTCAGTCAAATGCTCCTAATAGCTGACTAGCCTGGCTAAGGTGCATGATTAAAGCTCTGCATAGTGAGCCCAACTTGCTGGAGAAGCAGCCATCTTCATGGGCTGGCACAGAAATGTGACAGCAGAACAAGTATTAGTTAAGCCTGACACTTAATAGAGCATAGCAATGTATCTGTCTTGACTGGAGCTAAGTGGGCATCTCTGCCTCCAGCAGCAGAGTGCCATGCAGCATGCCACAGCTGTCTGGCAGGTGCATAGTGATGTCTGTAGAATTGAGGAGCACATCATGATAGGAAACTGCAAGATCCTTCGTAACAAAAAAACCCCACTAAAACCAAAACAACCAACACACACACCCCCAAAAAGAGAAAAGTGATTATCTAAAGGTAGCCCAAACACAGAGAAGACAGTGCATGAGAAAAGAGCAATATATTTGGTCTCCATGAGAGCTGAGGTGACCTACAGGAAAGTCATTTTGGATAGAAACTTACATGGTAAAGAGCAGAGTAAATATTGTTTGTCACCCAAAGGGTGCTATCTGAGGTCCTACATGTGAAGGCTGATACATGTGAAGGGTCATACACCTTCTGCCAACGCATCTCTGGGCTTCTCTCTCTTTTTCCCTTTAGATAAAGAAAACCAAGATCTCTCTCTATATGACAAGGTCTCCACCATCCCCTGCCTCCCTGGAGGCTGTGTCAGCCACCTACAAATCTGTGAATTCATCAGTGATTGCCCTGCCAAAGAACAGGAAGGAGTGAGGTGTGGTGAGTATGTGGCATGGCACTTCGTGGGAACCTTCCTCCCATTAGAAGAAATCTCTAGATTAATTCAGTATTTTGCCTCCTTAATAAACTTAGCCTATTTACATCAGTTCGATACCAAGATTCTCTTTGAAAATTCACCCTATATATAGGATAATTCACCCTATATAGGATAAAATGGATTTGGGTTGTTTGGTTTGGATTTTTAAATACTGCAGTAAGGAGCCCAGTGAGCTGCCTTTCATAGTTGCTGCTACTTCAGAGAAAGGCAAAACCTTATTTACATGTCTGCACCTGGGTGAGAAATTTCTTTCTGATCCCAAGGCCTGAACAGTGGAAGGTGCTGATCATCTTTCTAGTGCCAACCACCATAAGTCTTTCTCTTCAAGACCTCAGTTCAGAGCTCTTCTTGCACATCATGATGGAGAAATCCCTTGACTCATATGTGGTGCTAAGAAGGAACGTTTAGCTTTGTTGCAAGTACAGTGGCAGAGATCTGCTTGATTGGCCTTCCTTTAAGTGGACACAGAAATTTTTGTGATGCCTGCAGTCTCATATGCAGCAAGGCCTTTACAGACATATGGCAGTGATTTACAATTCTTTACGTTGTGGGAGCTGCAGTTTTACACAGTATCTATAGCAGGACAGAACTGCAAAATCTCAAATATCTTCAGAAGCAAAGTGTTGGCTTTCTGATGGTGACCCTGGAAATAAACATATGTCACCTACTAATATTTTGACATTGAAAACTGTGTAGCATAGGTTGGGTAGCTTAGCCATAGTGAGTTTTGATGTTTGCTGCTGTTTGTGTTCTTCCATAATCAAGTTTCTCCTATTTCCCTGCTTTTTGTTATTCATCATTGTAGACAGTCTTCCAGAGGGCTCACATTGCTCTTTTGAAGAGGGTCCATGTGGCTGGACACTGAATGAAACTGCAGCATCTCCTTGGTCTATTCGGGGTTTTACTGGAATGATTCAAGATGACTCACTTGTAGGGTCTACCTTGCAAGCCACTGCTGGTAGGTTCCTTATAGTTCTCTCTGTGTGTGTGTATAAACAATAGCCTCAAACTTGGGGGTTTAAAATTGGTTTAAATTTTTTGGCATCATGGACAAATGAACTTTTAGCATCAGTATTATCTATGACAACTTTCAATGTAGCTAAAATTAACTTCTGAATATGATTCAAAGCTTTATATGAAACAAGTTCTGCAACAAAGTTAACAGAAAACTATCAGAAGCAAGGATTTTCCTTCGCCTTAAAAAAAATACAGAATTAATTCTCTTTTCTATCTGTATACTTCTTCCTTGCTTCTTCCTCATATGAGCAATACAATTGCAGCAACAACATGATAGCTGCTGCCTCACAAAATACAAATTGCCCAACAGAACTAGGCAGCTTGTAGAAACAAGTCTTTCTGAGACCCTTGCCAGACTGTGCCAGTAGGTTAAGAAGAGTATCACATATAAGCATATCCCAAGACCAAATGATTATACAAATCCTGTGCCATAGAATGCCACTGTAAGAAAGGAGTCACATAATTCCCACAACTGTCAGCTTGGTAAATAAGATGGAGGAAGACCAGTCCCTCACATGTTTAGGTTGAAAGTCGGAACAGTTAGCACAGGTGCGTCTTGTCTCACAGCTCCCTGTCAAAATAAAGGATGTCCATATGAGTGTCCTGTTTGCCTCTTGAGAGCTTGTATAAACTGACCCTGGGAACAAAGACTACAAATAAGCTTTTACAGCCCAGTGTTTGTCTCTGCAAGAGTCATTGATGGTCACGTTGTAAGAATTAGAGCTGTTCACAATAGATTGGTGTGAGATCCTGTATGGGAAGATACTCGCGTGATGCCTCAGGTTTATGCGCTCATGCTCCAGGAAAGGGTTTGGGATATTGACTTCTGTGCTGCTGAAATCTACTGGAGTGTTTATTATACTCTTACTAACAGATCTGCTCTCAAGCCGTGCTTGTCTTCTACTTGTGTTGTGCTTCAGCACAATGACATTGAATTATTTCAAGAGAGTATAAAAAAGGGCAAAACATCATCTTGCCTTTTCTGATTCCTTTTTCACAGGACAATTTCTCTACTTGCGAGCAGACAGCAATCAGACAAGTGGTATGGCCAAGGCTTACAGTGCCAGCTTGCCAGCCAGTATTGCCACTGAAGACTACCAGGTATATCACTGTGTCTTAACACCTTTGTGGAGTTAATCTGTAGACACTGGTTGCACAATTAGCCTACTCTCCTGTGCCTCTGCACACTCTACAAAGCACTGGAAAGCAGAGCCTAGCTAGCTACTTGGTGAAAATTGGAAAGGAGACATGAGGTGCATCACCAGTAAATGAAAGCAGGAGTCCCAAATCAACTCAGTATGGAAAACTCCCCAGCCTAACTGTACCAACTGTTCTTCTGAAGGGTACCCAGCACCTGAATTGTGTGGCGTGGTGTTCGTAGGAAAGGGAGCTGGCTCTCTGGGCTGTTGAGCCATTCAGTATGTAACTGCTGCTGAGACTTCTCTTCATGAATTCTGCAATACTTTCTTAGGAGTTAACAAGCTTAACAATTTCTCTGAGAACAGGAGTGTGAAGTTAGTAGGCATTAGATTTTCCAGGAATAGATGAAGACTATATACTTCTGTTCACATTCTTCAGGAATTTCAAAAGGTGAGTGCAACCTGGCATGAATAAAATCATATAACCTGCCTTCAGCCCAAATCTCTACAAAGAATAAGTGGAGCTCTGAGATGCTGGAATTAAAAATACTCAATAATATTATATTCATAATACTTAGGGAAATTAAGCTGCAAGTTTGAGCTGGAGTCCAGCCCTGCCAGGGGAAAAGAGAAAGCTTTGATGCCTCCTAATTAGAACTGGCAAAAGAAATACGGTGCAGGTGCCAAAAACGTAACTTCAACATTTATGTCTATTTATAAATCCAGGTCAAGTTTGCTGGGTAGTTCCAACAAAATAAAATGTGTTTGGAGCTAGGTTCACAAAACCAGGAAGAGGAGAAGCCGTAACTGTTGGTTTTGGTGTACAGGTCACACAAGATCTGGACCCATTCTCTCCTCCACTGGCAAGGATTTGAACCCGCATTTCAGGAGCAAGGAACTTCCTGTGGTTGTTCTTTGCAGTGCTTGCTGCTGGTGCTCTCTGTGATATAAAAAGCAGCTGAGTGCTAAAAGCAGTGGTGGAAATAACATTTCTCTCTTGCTCTGTAGCAAAGTGGAAGTGGTTGCTCCAAAGAAAGAGGAAGGAAGTCCTGCTTCAAAATATTCTTTGGCCTGGTGATCAGGTTGCTTACCTGGGTGCTACAGTCCAGATGGTGCCTATGACTTCAAGCAAATGTATGGATTGAGATTTTCTGCCTCTAGAGACAGCCTAATTCCTCATTTCAAGGGCATTTGAGGCAGGGCAGCTCTCCCTAGAGAGCACCTTAAATAGTGCCTGGATGCAACACATTAGCCTGGGTGGTTACAATGGGATTCCTCTTATTAAATCCAAAGATTTAAACTGTGGTTCAAACCCTTTCACAGGAATCTTTAAGCTGGTGAGAACACTGAAGAGGAACGCAGTTAGGACTGGTTTTCTGTAATAGCCTTTCTGGTGGAAGCATTTAGTGACAAAGCATTTCTTAAGTTTAAGCCTGTCAGTCAGGGTCCGCACCAATAAAATTCTGTGCTAGGAACAGTGATGAGCCATACACAAGCAATGAGGGTCTGATTTGTGTGATTACAGATTAGTTTAACTCAGGATCAAAGGTTTGGTGTCTCAGATCCCCAGGGAGGGAGAAGTAAGTACCTTTCCCTTTTTATCACAGGATACCACTCTTTTCCTCTTCTTCCTCTGTTACAGATCCAATTCTCAGTGCATGTTTTTGGCAGCTACAATGGTACCATCTCCTTCTCTGTCAGCGAAGAGATAAAAGGAGCTCCAATCATCTTGCCCATGTGGGAAAGAGCAGGGAGCTGGAGTGACCACTGGTTTCTCATCACCTTACCAATGCCAGTGCTTCAGAATCGGTAAGAGCTCCACCAGCAGCATCCAGTTAGTAAATTGTTACTGGTTTTGTTGTGAAGCATCTCCTTCATTCTTGCCTTCTTCCAGGGCCATTTCTACTGAACAC